TCACAAACGCCTGTGATGTAGCTGCCGATCGGCACACAACAGTCTTCCATCATCACGATTTTTCACCCTTTTTTTTGTTTGAGAATTTAATGAGCACTTTTACTCCAATTATTGAACAGAAGTCAGATTTTAGACTAGGTAGATGTCAAGGACTGAAATCTAAGCCCATATATTTTATACAGGCCCCAGACACTGCCATCTTATTCCACGGGTACTATTTATGACTTTGTTTTATTTCATAGTGTGCTAATCGTTCATGCTTTGTACTCATAACGCGTCGTCAGAGCAGAAACGAGTCCTGATGACGTGACTGCCAAGAGCCAGAGCTTCCTCACATGGTCCTTCATCATGAGCTTCCACTTCGTACTGAGAACCTTTGTCCCCCGTTTATGCAAAGATCAAGCGTAAAAGAAGCTGAGAGTGCTTTTCTGTTGTGTAGCAAAATAAATAAACAATGATGGTCAAATGAACGAGTTCTGCTTTTCTGTATTTGATCCACATTTTATTTAAATGTATTTTTATGCACAGGGTTTTATTTAGGCATTTTACACTTGAATAAAAAGAAGTGCTTTCATGTAAAACAGGACATTGTTTTTTGCCATTAAGTTTTATTTAATATATTAATATATATGCCTCTTTGGCGCCATCTCTGTTTGAGATGTTCTTCTTTACGTGTACAGTCTAATCTCTAATTGACATAATATTCGATTGTCATAGAAAAAAAAAATTCTTTTTACCTCAAAAATCTATTTAATGTTCCTTAACACTCGTTCTAAAATGACAAGTTTAATTATTACAGCTGCTGTAAGAAGAGGCTACAAATTGATCCGCCACCACATGCGATATAGCCTACTAGCCGGGACTCCTTTATGTATACAGACGTGACATAATGACGCAAAGACGAACGGCGGCAAACTAGCATTTCCCGCGAAAACCGACCCAAACCCGAATCAGAAAACATTTTTACAAGCTTACCTTTGTGAATCGGGGGCTAAGGTGAGGAGATAGTTTTGAACACTGATTGGCTATGTACTTGCTCATTAACTGATTTTGGATCATTTTTAACCAAAAAAAAAGAGTTACTGAATGCAGCTTTAAAGTGCCTCTTAATATTGTAAAGTGTCAACATGTAAGGTCTGGGGAAAGACAATCAGCATGACACCGTGAGTTCATCCAGTTCAGCCCTTCAACTTATGTGACCTCTTTGTGGAGACAAATATTCATGCAGTAACACTTCACAGCACTGCTGTGTTTCCAGTCAGTCTCTTGAGGTCTGAAAGTACGATATCTTTTTCTCTCCTGTATGTGCATCATCTGATCACTCTGAGGTCCATCTTCATCGTGTTGACAGACAGTGAGTCGGACCAGAACAGAAAACCTACAGAGACTCAACGACACGGAGACAGACCTCCAGAGACACTCAGCACTGAGACCAGGAGAAGCTCAGGAAGATGAAAACCAGGACAGACAGGAGAGGAGGAGACGCTGCTGTCGTACCGGGAGGCCACAGCTGGAGACAGAGAAAGAGGATGAGGATGATGAAACAGGTAAGTTGGAGAAAAACAGATATGATTCTAATGTGGAAAGAAGAAATTGGTGTGCCTAGACTTGTAATGGTTTTCAGGTAATGTGTTTGCACTTATATTAGGCCGTTTATGCATTACGATTCTGAACAGGTAAATTCTTCCCATTTATATAAAGAATATTTCCTTCCACGCAACTCAGAGGCGTATTGTTTTAAGCCTATTACCTAGAAACTGCAGTGTAAATAAAGTGTACTGTAAATACACTCTACCGTTTTAAATAAAGCAAAGATTTCTGGAGTATGTTTTAAAAATTACCATTTCAGTACTTCTACTTTAAAATTTATTTAAAATGATTTTCTACTTCAAAATTTACTTTATTGATTTCAATGTGATACATTTATTTCTTTTTCACATATTTCAGTAATCATCATAAATAAGACTTCTTTTGAAAGATCGAAGAGTCAACACTCAAAATTAATTTTGTGAAAATCGTTTTGAAATTGGACATTGCTTTGCTTGCTTTAAAGGGGTCATCGGATGCCCATTTTCCACAAGTTGATATGATTCTAAAATTTCTCAATGGTAGTGTAAAAAAACCACCCCTTTTACCCTGTCAAAATCAGCTGTTTTCAGCATGCTGTTCTAGTCCATGTTGCTTTAAATGCTAATGAGCTCTGCTGACCCCGCCCCTCTCTTCCGTGGGGTGACGAGCAGACTGTAAACTTCATCCACGAAACTGGCTAACTAGCATATATTAGGAAAGGCGATTTGCAAAGATTCATAAAAAACCCTTTATACTCACTTCTTCTGTAGATGAAGCTGGATCACAAATGATTCGCGCGAACTTAAACGCATTTAGGCAGATCGGGGATCGGCGCA